GCGTCAGTCAGCAGGCATCATGCTGTGCTTTGGTTTGGCTGGTCCCCATCTAGGAGCTTGCCTCAGTGTCCCCTGGGGCTTTGTGCATGGAAACGGGGAAGGGAGGAGGAGAAAGAAGGTGGCTTGCATAGCCTGTGAGACCACCCAGGCCACCTCTGTTCTCCCCATTCTCCCCACTGCAGCAAGCATTTGCAAACAGAACCCTATCCCACAGCCACGCTCCACACGCCTTGCCTCCTCCCCCTATATCCATCCATCCATCCATCCATCCATCCATCCATCCATCCATCCATCCATCCATCCATCCATCCAGTTCCTGACTTTGTGCAGGACAGCCTGGAGGCAGCTCAGGTCATAGCAGCGGGTCCCTTCTGGGGTGCAGGGTGCCTGTGGGGTGCCATGGGGCCATGTGAGCCTCACCTGCCAGAGGAGGGCACAGTGCTGCCCCTGCCTCAGTTTGCCATTCCCCAGCCATAGGATATTCAAGCTGCAGATCTGGAGCTGGGGAGTTAGCTGGGGCATGCCCCCTTTCTGAAGACCACCGTGTCCCACAGGCTCATCTCGCCCTCCCGCCATGGCATCGCCGGACGGAGCCAGTGGTGTGGGTGGCAGTCCCGAGGAGACAGAGCTCAGCATCACCCTGACCCTCCGCATGCTCATGCATGGCAAGGTAATGGCAGGGGGCTCAGTGCCACTGAGGGGACAGCGATGCCTGGGCTGAGGGGCCATGCTGGAGCTCCAGCTCCTCACCAGGCCCTGTTTTCTTCCCATGCTCGCAGTCTTCCCTGGGAATAGCATTCCCAGAAGGATTTCTCTCCCCATCCTAAGCCAGGGAGGGGCACATTCCCATGCCCCAGTGTCACTAGTTAAGTCACCAGTGTCTCTGGGGCAGAGTCTTCCTGTTGCCAGGCTGGGGGCAGAGGGGGGATGTGGCATGCAGGGAGCCACCTCCTGACAGTGCCACTCTTCTCTGCCTTTTCAGGAGATCGGCAGCATCATCGGCAAGGTAAGATCTGGGGTCCAGTGTCTTGCCAGCACTTGGCCCCTCTGGACCTGACCACCCACTCTGTTCCTTTATCTGCAGAAAGGAGAGACTGTTAAGAGGATACGAGAGCAGGTAAGGGCATGCTGGTGGGCTGCCAGGTCCTGCTGCCTGTCATGCCTGTACCTGGCAGCTCCCACGTGCCTGCCCCCCTAAATCCCAGGTGGAACCAGGGAAAACAAAGCAGCACCCCAGGGAAGGCTGCCTGGGGCAGGTGGGAAGGCATCAGTATCCCCCTGTGAGGCTATCCCTGGGGGAAGTCCTGAAGCACAGGGCTTGTGACATCCCTAACGGGGTGTGACACTGTCCCCAGAGCACTGCACGCATCACTATCTCAGAAGGGTCCTGCCCCGAGCGCATCACCACCATCACCGGCTCCACCGACGCCGTCTTCCGCGCTGTCTCCATGATCGCCTTCAAGCTGGAGGAGGTAGACAGCCCTCCTAAATCCCCACCAGGTGCCCCTACACCTGTGGGATCCTCGGGTCTGACGCTGCATCCCACATCCCTCACAGGACCTGGGAGCAGGGGGCGATGGGGTGTCAGCAGGCAGAGCCCCGGTGACCCTGCGCCTTGTCATCCCCGCCAGCCAGTGCGGCTCCCTCATCGGCAAGGCGGGAGCCAAGATCCGGGAGATCCGGGAGGTGAGCCTGAGGGGAGACTGGAGGGGGAATCCCTTTTTCCCCCTGGATGTAGGGGCTGACACAGTCCCACAGGGGCTGAGGGAGGTGATGCAGGAGAGGGAGCATTGCCCTGCAGGTCCTGCAATGGGCCCTGGGGGTTCAGGAAGGGGACAGGGGAGGTGTGAGGTGCTGAGTGCTGGCAGGGAGTGGTTGGGGAATGCCAGCCTCTCTCTGCTTCCTGCAGAGCACAGGGGCACAGGTGCAGGTGGCTGGTGACTTGCTGCCCAACTCCACTGAACGGGCTGTCACGGTCTCGGGAGTGCCAGACACCATCATCCAGTGCGTGAGGCAGATCTGCGCTGTCATCCTGGAGGTACCTGCCAAGCCCCATGCACATCTGCTACCCACCTCCCCCTCCCCAACACTTCCCATGCCCATCTGGACCCGAACACCAGGGTTCCCCTGTGTGGAAACCCCTAGGAGCACCCTGCCTTTGTAGTGCTGGGGGCTGTGCCCAGCTTGCTGGGGGCATAAGGGGGCAGAGGGTCCTTGGGGCTACAGGGGCATTCAGCTTCATCTCTCATCTCCTCCACCTCCTTCCTTCTATCTCCAGTCGCCTCCGAAGGGGGCCACCATACCCTACCACCCTGGTCTGTCCCTGGGCACCATCCTGCTCTCTGCCAATCAGGTAAGAGGCCACAGCATCTCCGAGGGCATGAGGTGGCCAGGAGGGCAGCCTCTACCAGCAAGGGGCAACTCTGGTGGGCTCAGGGTAGTCTCTCTGCCCCAGGGGGGTGTGACCTGAGACAATGGTCCTCACCTGACTCCCCACTCTGATTCCCCATTTTTCTCTCCCCAGGGCTTCTCCATGCAGGGCCAGTACAGCGGGGTCTCTCCTGCAGAGGTGAGTCTGTCCATGAGGCAATGGGGTCTGTGCCCACCAGGATGGGCGCTGCTGGGAATGCCTGCCTTGGAAGGCACTGGGGCACAGCTGACTCTGCCATCACCCCTAACACCACCTTCCTCCTCTTGGCACTCTGGGCAGGTGACGAAGCTGCAGCAGCTGTCAGGGCATGCGCTTCCCTTCGCCCCCCTGGGCCATGCACCCACCATGGTGCCAGGTGAGCATCTCCCATGCTCCCCCGAGGCTGGGTGTGCCCCTCCTGATCCTCCCTGACACCTGGCCCTGATGAAGGGACTTCCCTCCTCTGCACCCTTTCCAGTCCCAGCCCCCCCAGCATGTCTGCCTGCCCCTCCAGCACAACCTTGTCATTGTTTTTCTGGGGTCACTGCACCCACCAGTGCTCCCCAGGCCTGCAGTGGGAGAGCACCAGCACCAAATTATGCCTTGTGTCTGTGTCCTGTCTTCCTTTCCTTTCCCCAGCAACCCTCCAGGTTTGTCCTCAGGGCCACTCACCATCCCAGTATGGGGCTGGGGTAGGGGCACAGAGCTACTGGAGAGCTGCCCCTTCGTTGCTGACATCCCTGTCTCTCTCTTCAGGTCTGGATGCCAGCTCCCAAAGCAGCTCCCAGGAGTTCCTGGTGCCCAATGACGTATGTATTGATCTAGGAATGACAAGGGGGACCACAGCTTGTCCCCACCCATGTGGCTCTTTGCAGAGGCCAGCACCCACTGATGCACACAGTGGAGGCTCTACCAGAGCTTAGGAGCAGGAGGGAGTAGCTGGGGCAGAAGAAAGGGGAAACTGAAACACAGGACAGGGGGAAGAGTTTGCCAAGGAAATGCCTTGGCATGTGACACAATGCCAGCAAGAGGGTCTTAGGTGAGACCAAAAAGCAGGGTTTGCTCAAGGAAAGCAGTGTCCTGCCCTCCTAGTGCCTTCCACAGTTTCACTCCCAAGGTGTAGGTGGTGTCTGGGTGAGCCCCTTGGAGCTCCCTGCTTGGCAATCTGCCCTGGCTCAGCCCACTCCATCCCTGCCCTTTCAGCTCATCGGCTGCATCATCGGCCGGCACGGCAGCAAGATCAGCGAGATCAGGCAGATGTCAGGTGCCCACATCAAGATTGGCAACCAGACCGAGGGCTCCAGCGAGCGGCATGTGACCATCACAGGGACCCCTGTCAGCATCACCCTGGCTCAGTACCTCATCACAGCCTGGTAGGTGTCAGCCTTGGGGGACTCATGCTGGGTGCTACTGAGGGATGGCTCTTCACCAGCACCCCAAGGCAGCTTTGGGAGGATCCACAGCATCCTCAGGAAGAATGAGCTGGGTGGTGCTTTGAGATGCTGAGGTGGCAGGACCCATGACCCACCTGATTTGAGGCCCAGTTTTTTAACTCAGGATGTGCCATGGATACTTGTGCCAGAAGGGATGGGGTGCGCAGCTCCTGCACCCCAACCTTGTGGTGGGAAAACAACTCTGTCACCGTGGTACTCACCATCATCCTTCTCTCTTTCTTCCCCAGCTTAGAGACTGCTAAATCTACCTCTCAGGTGCCACCAGGCCCTGGCTCCATGGACCTCGGCATGGGTTTCTCGCAGCCCCTCGCCCCAGGCTCTGGTGCGGCTCTCCCCGCCGTGGCCCCAGCGCCCCCGGCCCTGCTGGGCACCCCCTACGCCATCTCCCTCTCCAACTTCATCGGCCTCAAGCCCGTGTCCTTCTTGGCATTGTCCCCCTCCTCTGTGGCAAGTCCCAATGGTGGCACCACCACCTACACAACCAAGATCTCGGCGGCCAACGGCACCAAGAAAGCTGACCGGCAGAAGTTCTCGCCCTACTGAACCCCACTGGTGGCTGGACCAGGGGGTCCAGGGTGCTGTTCAGTAGCAGGGACACCTTCCTGCCACCCACCCTGATCTCAGCCTCTGCCAGGTGCCCCATGTCCCCCACCCCAGGGAAGGGAAGGGTCTTCCTGGTGGTGATGCCTGCTGGAGGAAGGGGCAGTTTTGTTGCCTGCTGTCCATCCCAGCAGCTCTGTGCCCCTCTCCCTAATTTTCTGCACAGAGGCCATGTGTCCCAGTATTGGGTGGGGGGGCTGTCCCTGCTGGCCTAGGGTCCCTTCTCCCAGTGCCCTGTGCTGGTGTGGGACCCCTACTTCCTGCTCCTCACCCTGCCTCCCCTGCCATTCTGCTCATGCCCACACTCCATCTGGCACCCAAAGCCAGGTCCCACTGGATGAAGGCTGCCTGGCCTCTCCAGGAGTCCCACTGGCTCTGGTGGGGAGCCCTCCCTGGGCCACCCTGGGCCAACCCCAACCAAGAGCCAGTCCCTGCTGGCTTGGAAATGCTGTATATATATGAGTCTATATTTTTTCCTCCTTTGTAACTTATCAATGGTTTAATAAAAAGATAAAATTTACAAGAAAATGACAATAATAATAATATTCCCTACCCTGGGTGGAGACTTCCCCCAGAGCAGAGGTGGCCCCAGCTCCTGGGTACTTGGGTGGTGGACGGAAAGACATCCCTGTGTCTAGGGGGGGATGCTGGCCTTTAGCCCCATCTCTCTGGGAGGTCTTCCTGGAGCCCCTCCCTGCCACAGGGAGGCCATAGGGCAGTTTTCCCTCAGGCCTTCAGTTACTTCTGGAGTAGGACATCTCCAGCCCACCATGCCAACACCATCCCTGGGACCTTTGTGGGCAGGCAGAGGGTGATGTACCCCTGCAGCATTCCCCAAAAGGGTCCAGTCCCCCTTCCAGCAGTGGGGACCCTATGAGAGCATCCCCAAACCCTTCAAAAGCAATGAGACTGAAGAGGAACAGCAGGTCCTGATCCCCTCTGGCTGCTGCTGCCCTGGGGCAGCCCACACAGCCACCCCCCACCACCCTGTGTCACCAAGTCCAACCCAGCGTGCCCTTGGCTGGCAGCCCAAGTTGGCACACGGCACTGCTGACCAGGCTTCAAACTGGGCAGCTGTGTCCATAAACAGCCTGGTATGGACCCCCAGACAACCAGTTCCCCCCCAGGGGGGTGATCCCTGCCAGCTGAGAGGGACAGAGGGCATGGCCAGGCGTGGCCACAGGCATTGCATGCTGCCATGCCAGCAGGACAAACAGTGACACAGCCAGAGCCAGCCCTGTGGGTGTGTCCCCCGATCAGTGTCGTAGGGAGCAGAATCTCCTCCACACAGACATTAGTTTTGGGTTAAACAGCCGAGGATGGAAGTCTCTGTGTCTGCCATCCAGGCTCAGCAGGGGCTGGGCCCTGGTGTTACTGGTGTTAGTGGCATTAGCTGGAATGTTGCCCCTGGATCAGGGGACATCGGCCCTTCCCGTCGGCCAGGTGTGCTCCCACCCAGGCAATGGAGATGGAGGTGTCCCATCCCCTGCCCCTGTGCAGGAGCCCCCTGGCACCCCATGTCTTGAGGAGAGCCCATCTCTGGAACTGGGCTGTGCTGGCGGAGCCAGAGACAATTCCAGCCTGCAGAAGAGAGAGGTGACTTCCTCAGATCTGCTACCTTCTCCCAGCAGAGAAAACATCTTTCAACATAAGCTCAGAGAAGAGGCAAAACCTCCACAAGGACTCCTCCAAATCCAAGAAATTGGGTCCAAGCAGGGCTCATGGGTCCCTGGCAGGTCTCCCGCCCAGCACAGTGGGACAGATCCTCCCTCTCAGCTGCTCTCTTCCCCAGGAACTTGACTTGGGGTGGGGAAGCTTGTTGTGGTCTGGTCCAGCCTGTTCCTGGGGCTGGGGCTGATGCAGCTGGTGTGCATCTCCAGTGTGCAAGTTGCTCTCTGGAGGAACTGCAAGAAGTTTTCCTGCACAGAAGCCTCTGAGATGGTAAGACAGATCTCCTGACCAAGTGGATGGTTGAGACAGCTGCGCCGCAGCCGGGCCAGCTCCTCGCGGATTTGGCGGTTCAGCAACCCGTAGAAGAAAGGATTAACAGCAAAGGAGGAGTAGGCAATCCAGGTGACCACCATCTCCCCGTGCCCACCACCCACAGTGGCAAGAGGGACAGAGGAGTGCAAGTGGAAAGCAAAGAAAGGCAGCCAGCAGCACAAGAACTGTCCCACAATGAGCACCAAGGTGAGGATGGCCTTGTTGCTTCCCAGAAGGCGATCTGGGATCAGCCTGGGCAGCATCAGGATCCAGGCAGTGAGGATGGTCACCTGGCTGGCAATGGAGTCACATCGGTGTCTGGGTGCCACAGCCTGTGCTGGCACGGGTGCCTGCTGCAGGGACGCAGTCCGGGCCACGCGGTAGATGCTGGAGTAGACAGCGAGGATAATGATGGTGGGCAGAATAAAGCAGGTGATGCTGAAGAGGATCACAAAAACATTCTTGTGGGCCCCAGGGCTCCAGTAGACTGTGCAGCGGCTGGCACTGGTGGCCCCGTTGCCATGAGGCCATGCCACTAGTGCCAAGACAGTGATGAGAACAGACTTGACCCAAATGAAAACCACTCCAGCCACCGCCAGCCTGATGGTCATCTTGACCTCATACCTCAGGGGGTGGATGATGTAGTAGTACCGCTCCACGCTGATGATGCAGATGGTGAGAATGGAGGCACTGATGAAGCAGATGTTCAGGAATATCACTGCCTTGCACTCAGCAATGCTGTAGATAACCCAGTTAAAATAGGAGGAGCTGGAGATGATCCCCAGGGGCATGAGGAAAATGGCTGAGAGGAGATTGACCACGCAGAGGTGGCAGACAAAGATGAACTTCCTGAAAAGGGGTGTTTTGAGGATGATGACCATCACCACGATGTTGGCCACCAGGGCAGTGAGGGTGAGCAGGATCATGCAGAAGAGGCCCACCACCTCCTGGCCAATGGAGTGCTCGGGGATGGAGAGCAGCTCTAGGCTGTCCGTGGCGTTTGACCCCGTCCAGCTCGGCATCCCCCTCCAGGGCTAAGCCAGCAGCTCTGGTGCCCGGGCAGCAAGGGCTCTTCTCCTGTGTCCCAGACAGGGTAACCCCACCACAACCATGGCTGCTACCTTCTCCTTGCCTGTTGGGATCAGGAGCAGGTGTGAAGGGAACGAACCAAAATGGAGAAGAGCCACAGAGAAACACAGAGACAACCAGCACTCTTCCCAGGTTCTGGAGGAGGGAGAGGTAGCCAGTGAAGTCATATCACCCTGGCTTTCCCAAAGCTGCCACCCAGGCTGTCCCCAACCCTGCCAGGGACCCCATCCCCCCTCTCCAATGGCACCAGTATGTCCTGAGGTGGGACAGCACAACTCGCGTCCCCAACCCTGCCAGGGACCCCATCCCCCCTCTCCAATGGCACCAGTATGTCCTGAGGTGGGACAGCACAACTCGCCTGTCCCAACCCTCACGCTCTGGCCACAGGGGGCCCCAGGGTGGGTGGGATTCAGCGCACCTTTGCTCCTGGGGAGATGGGAAATGCTTCTCTCCTCTGGGGTTCCTGCTTGCTGCTGTTGCTGGTTCTGTTGCTCCCGCAGCAGAGCGGGGCTGCCGGCCCTGTGTGAGGCCACGCTCGCCCGTCCCTGCTCCCGTCACCGCTCGTCATCCTGTTTGCCTGCAGCCCGCCAGCTGCGGATGGCACCAGCTGTCACTCCCGGCACTGCCTGAACTGCCTGCACCCGTGGCAGTCCCACGGGCACAGCTGCTGGGTCCTAGCAGCCGGCAGGGGCTCAGGAAGGGGGGATCGGGGTTCCTGAGCCCTGTGCTCCCCAGAATGGCCCCCCGCTGCACCAGGCCTGGTCCTTCTACAGGAACACCTCAGCCTTTCCTTGGGCTCAGGGGACAGAGCTACAGGCAGGTCTGCAGCAAATCATCTCCACTGGCACACGGTATCACAGGGTGCTGATACCCAGGGGCATCAGGGTAACACAGCTGGGAGTTGCCCTTCCCTGGCAGCCTAAGCACCTGGACATGGGCTCAAGGGGCACATGTGAGCACAGAGAGGGGCTTGGCATGGGTGCCAGCCTGGGGCAGGACAGCAGGCATGGCACCAGGCATGGCACACTAGAGAGAGGGCAGGATGAATTCCTCCATGCCCAGGCAGGGCAGCATATCTTGTTCATCCTCTGTAGCTCTGATGCCACAGGGTGGGCATGAGCCATGTGCCTTGCTATGGTGATGAGAGCAGCTGGCTCTTAGAAACACCAGCTTTCATCTGAAGGCTTCAGCCCCCCCAGAGCCACCCATGCCATCCCTTCAGGGACCCACAGACACCCCTCGCTACAGCACACCCACCTTGCTGGGCAGGAAAGTGAGAGCAGCACCCAATGCAAGGCACAGTGCTTTTATTGACAATCAAAGCAAGCTCAGTGCCCATGCCAGCCTGTCCTTGCCAAGTCCCAGGTGGGGTGGCCAGGGAGTCCACAGATCACTGTGCTCTGGGCTGGTGGGTGTCACCTCCTGGCACTGGGCCAGGGCCAGGGTGCTCCCAGGCACCCTCAGAAGCGGAGCTGCACAAGGTAGCGGAGCCGGCACTGGCTCTCCTTGTAGATGAGGTACTCGCTCTGGCTGAAGGAGGAGTCCTTGTAGGCGGGCATGGGGATGGGCTTGCCCTGGCACACCAGCACCTTCTTGCCATCCAGCAGCACCTCCTCGTCCTGTGCAGGATCTGGGCCAAAGACACCCCAGCACCACATGAAACCTGAGATCTGGCCTCTCCCCCCTGCCACCCTCTGCGCAGCACAGCCCCAGAGCTGCCACAGCCCTTCCTGCCCGCAGCTCACCCGGCTCTGTGCGGCCACAGGCCACGACACTGTCATAGCCAGCAGGTGGCTCACACAGCGTGGGGTCGTCGCTGGTGATGCGGTAGGGCTTGCCCAGGGCCACCTCCGACAGGAACATGATGCCAACATTCTTAGATGTACGGCCCACTGCCATGGGAGAAAAGGGAATGATATCACCATTCCTGGCACTCCCATCTGGTCGTGCCCAGGCCACGCTGGAGCACCGGGACCAATCACCATGGCAGGGAAGGGGCACGGCAAGCCCACAGCTGCCTGGCAGGAGGTATGCAAGGGCAGCCAGGCTCACACAGACCCTGTAGGCATCACAGGCAGCCCAGCCCATGGCAGGACCCTCACCATAGCTGGCTGACTTGCTGTTCTCAGAGGCAAAGTAGATGCCCTTGCCCACGCGGCCGCCGGAGTGGGGCATGATGCGCAGGCCGCTCCTCAGGATGGCCGCCACCACCGCCACGCTGGTGCCGTGCCACAGCAGCCGCCGGTGCTCCAGCAGCTCGTGGGCCTTGAAACGCTCATCCTGCAGAGATCAGACATAAAGGCTGTCCACAGAGGGACACATGGGGGCCCAGGGGTGGAGGACTGCCACCCACCTCCCCAGTCCAGCCCCAGTGCCTGGCTGGAGGGGCAGGAGAGTGGGTCCCTGTTTGGCCCTGGCCAGCTGGGCTGAATGCCCTCCTGGGTGGAGAAGCCCTAAAGCAATCCTGGGGTGCAGCCATGGCTTCCCCACTGTGACATGGGAGAATCAGCTCCTCCTCACCTCACCATCTCGGGCCACCTGCCAGATGTTGAGGATGTGGAGTTTGTGCCCAGTCTGCATCACATAGGTCTGGATCAGCTGCCAAGGGGGAGGCAAAAAAGCTGTGTCATTCCAGGCAGTCATCTCAGCAATGCCCACGGTCCCCCTGGGACTGTAGAAGGCTTTGGGGTGCCCACAGGCCTGACATAATTGTTTCCCATTATGGGACACTGTGGCACAAGCAGCACCTGGTATTCCCGGGAGGCCGGGTCAAGCAGGGAGAGCTGGCAGCACAGCAGGGCGTAATCCTGATCCAGTGGATGGGCAACCTCTTTCTCCTCCTCCTCCTTCTCTTTCTGAGCCTGCAGGCTCTGTGCAAGCTCAATGTCAGCGAGCACCTGGCAGGGACAGAGCAGGGACATCCTCAGCACCAGTGGTGGGCACTGTGCCAGGGGGCCGGGGCAAGCCCAGCCTCGTGCCAGCAGCTCCTGCCCCACCGGGGGGGGATGTCAGGCACCGTGTGCTCTGGCAGCTCACCAGCAGCATGTCCTTCTTGGCACGCAGCAGCTCAGGGGAGTTGATGGTGGGTGGCCGTGCCCGCCCAAAGTTGTGTGGGACGATGGTGTAGAAGCGTGAGGAGAGTTCCTCCAGGCGGGTGGCCTGGGGGGGCTGCTCCCTCAGGGCTGCCTCCAGCTCCTCCAGTGCCTCAAAGCCCCTCGCGATCTGCTGCTTGCTCAGCTTCCCAAGGGGCATCTTCTTCACATCTGCAGGGGAGGACAAGATGAACCCATCCACCCCACTCGCCCTGCAGCTACCTCCAAGAACCTCCAGAATCACCATGGGCAAGTGTAGGCACCAGCATGGGGTGTCCACAGTCCCATCAGGTGCCAGGATATCAGAGGGGGTGCTCTAAAACCCATCAGCACCTCTGCTCCGTTCACCTACCCACCTTCACCCCCCGACAGAGCCCATGCCACCCATCAGCCACCAGCTCCTACCGATGTTCATGGTCTGCATGGCATCCCGGAACATGTCACTGCTGAAGATGAGGGACACCAGGTCCTGAGTGGCTCTGTCCAAGGTGCAGGGCAGCACCCACTGCTTGCACACCTTGTCCCCATCCACGGCATCCACCTGCAGACACCCCACATCAGCTGTGGGCCTGCAGGCAGCTGTGGGAGCACAGCACCAGGGCTGCCCATTCTGTGAGGAGAGCCCGGTCCTGGGGCAGCAGAGCAATGAGCAGGTGCTGCCTCCACTTTCCATGCCACCCACAAGGCCATGTTTCTCATTCAGGATGCCCTCCCACTCCATTTTAACCCATTAGCCCCAAATCTCTGCCAGCAAGCTGCTTCAGCAAGCACCCAGACCCCCCCTCAAAACCCATCCCATCCTGCTGACCCTCTTGGATGTCCTGGTGTTCAGTGGGCCAGGAGTGCAATGAGGACCATCCCACCACGGTGACAAGCTCTCTCAGTACTCACCCTGAGTGTAGCCTCCACCTCCTGCCCAGCCCCTGGCTGCACCTCAATGAGCGTGTACTTCCCTGGGTGGGCAACAAAGTTCTCCCTTGTTGCCCAGCTGTTCTTGGTCTTCTCCCGAAACTTCTTCTCAAAGTCCTTCTTGGCAGCCTCCAGGGAGGCACAGGGCATGAGCTTGGACTGGCCTGGCTCTCCCTGGCAGTGGAGAGCAGCAGTCAGGAGCTCCCCTGCATCCCTGCTCCACCAGCCCCATGCCAGTGGAAGCGGGCAGGCAGGAACAAGGGGAGAGCAATGCTGTGGGGCAGTGAGCAGGAATGTGCTGAGCCACCAGCTCAGGAAGACACCCCAGGACCCCTTGCTGGGCTGTCACACTGACATTCACTGCAGGGACAGGTGCCACATGCCCCAGACAGGCAGGCTATGTTGTGTGGGGAAAAGTCCATTAAGTCCCCCATTAAAGTGCTATAGCAGGACACTTGGGTGCTCGCTTTGGGACCAGGCACCACCAGGTTCACAGTCAGTTTTTGGGGCTCTGAAGGCAGGGTGGGGCCAGCTGAGGTGCAGGGGATGAGCAATGCCCAGGAGGACTCACCACGCGGCCCCAGCGGCTCCACACACTGTAGGCACCATCGTGCTCCAGGAGCTGGAGGATGTAGAATTTGTTGTTGTTGGCACTGATGTTGGTCTGGTTCAGGGTGCAGTCATAGTCCTCATGGACCTACAGCGAGTGACATGGCCTGGACTGGCACCTGGGAGCATTCAGGGAAGGAGAGGGGGCACAAATGTCCCAGTGGGAACACATGGGGTCTGCAAGGGAAATTGGGGCTGCCCCTGTGTCAGCAGGGCAGGGGCTGGTCTGAGACTGCCCCAAGCCTCTCCCCCTGCCCCTCTGAGCCGCCCAGCCCTGCTCTCACCCGGGCACCCGCTGCTGAGCTCAGGGGGCACAGCCCATCAATCGTGGCAGGCGGCTTCTCCTTGGCAGCGGTTTTCAGGGTTGCCAAGGTGGAGCTCCAGGTGTCGTCCTCCTCTTCCACTTTCGGTTTCTTTTCCCTGCTGTCTGGCTGCTTCGAGGAGGAAGCTTGGCGCTTGGAAGCCATGACTGAGCCCCCCCCTGCTGTCACCGGTCAGCACAGCCTTAATCCCTCAAAAAAATCCTTGGGGACAGCAGAGGGAGAGGTGAGAGATGCCAAGCTGCCCTTCCAGGAAAGTCCAGTGGGCTGTGCCTTGCTTTCCCTGTGCCTTCAGCCCACAGCAGGGCTGGAGGAGGGGATGGGACCTCTGCCCACAATCCTGTCCCTGTGTTCAGGGTGTGTGGAAGAGCCTCTGAGCACCCTTCAGCCCTTGAGGGACCCCAGAGTGGAAAGAGCCCAGTGACACAGAGCCGAGGGGGAGCACAGGGGAGCTGTGTCCCCATCTCCCCTCACCAGGAACCCCCCAATCCACACGAGTGTGTCCCCAAGGCTCGGCCAGCTCTGTGCCCCCAGGGACATGCAATAGGGGAAACAATGCAACCACACACCACCTGACACGAAATGTCATCCCCCAGTTGCTCTCAAGAGCAGTGAAATGCTTTGATTTGGGCAGGAGGGGGCTCGGACAGCCCCTGTGTGCTATGCCCCTGCCATCCCAGCTGAGGACAGCAGTGGGGACAGGGGCTACAGGCTGTGTCCTACCTGCTCCTGCTGCCCAGGGCTGCCTGCAAGAGCTGCCGGGAGCCTCCAGGCTGGCCGGGCAGCCTGCCCAGAGGAGAAACTTTTTTCTTAGGCAGCACTCGGGGATGACAGCGGAAACAGCTGAGACGCCTCCGGGCAGCAGCGCATGCACCCTGTGACAGAGCTGCCTGCTGCTCAGCTCCACTGCCTGTACTGTCTGTACTGCCGTCTGTCTGTCTGTCTGTCTGCAGTGCCTGCCTGCAGTGCCTGTACTGTCTGTCTGTCTGCAATTCCTGTCTGCTTGTACTGCCTGTCTGTCTGCAGTGCCTGCACTTTCTGTACTGTCTGTGTATCTGTCTGCACTGCCTGTCTGCTGGTACTCCCTGTACTGTCTGTCTGTACTGCCTGTCTGTCTGTACTGCTGTACTGTCTGTCTGCACTGCCTGCACTGCCTGTACTGCTGTACTGTCTGTCTGCGCTGCCTGCACTGCCTGTACTGTGTGTCTGTCTGCACTGCCTGTCTGCTTGCACTGCCTGTACTGTCTGTCTGTACTGCCTGTACTGCACTGCCTGCACTGTCTGTACTGCCTGTCTGTCTGTCTGTACTGCAGTACTGTCTGTCTGCACTGCCTGCACTGCCTGTCTGTCTGTACTGCCTGCTCTGCCAAGCAGTCCCTGGATGAGATGTGACCCTGACCCCACTGTGCCCTCCAGCCAGCCCCACTCCGCCATGCTCTTAGACTAAGAAAACTGTCTTGAAAAAAATAAAGATGGCACCATTTTGTGTATAATTTTTAAATATATTTTGTTGGGTCCCAAGCAAACTCTCAGGACTGAGGGTCAGGCAGTGAGGAGGACCTGACTGCATTTGAATGTGGTTTGAAGGGCTCTCAGCAGCCTCTGCCTGCTTCTGCCATGCTCCGAAGGGTTCAGGTCCAGGCAGGAGAGCTGTGCAGGAGCAGGGACTGTGCTGGTGCCATGGGAAGGGGGCAGTGGGGACCTTGGTGCTGGGAATATGGAGAGGACAACATTGCTGGGGCCAAAGTCTGGTTGGCTTTGCAGGTCCTGGGATTGGCCATGTGAGCCCAGGCAGTGTATGTGGGGATACAGCCCGACATCCTCCCTTGGGAACAGAAATTTTTCACTTTTAACTGAGGCATGTGCTCCCCAAAGGGACCATAGGCCATGACAACTATTTAGCTATTGATAGGGGAGGAACTGGGGTTCTTCACTGTGCAGAAGAGATGACTCCAGGGGGAACTTAAGAGCCCCTTCCAGCCCCCAGAGGGACTCCAAGTCGGCTGGAGAGGGGATTTTGGATGGGGCACACGGTAACAGCACAAGGGATAACTGCTTTCAACTGACAGCAGTTTTGGATGGTTCATGAGGAAGAAATGCACTGCGGCGAGGCATGGGGAGCTGTTTCACAGAGCAGTTGCGCTGCCCCATTCCTTGGCAGTGTCCAGAGTCAGGCTGGAGGGGGCTCTGAGCATCCCGCTCCTATGATGATGGGGGGGAGGCCGCACCGCAGGGCTTTTAATGGCGGCAGCGCCCCCCCAACTACATTTCCCGGCGTGCCGCGCGGCCGCTGCGCCTGCGCCCCTATTGGAAGCTTCCAGTCGGGGCGCGAGGTGGCTGCTGGGTACAAGACGGGCAGTCCCTTAGGCGCCATTTTGTGGCGAGGCAGCGAGAGGGACTGTGCGGGTGTGCTTGGCGTGTGGTGCCGGATCGTGCTGTGCCTGGTGCCTGCGGATCCTGGGCGGCGGCATGGGCTCGGACAAGCGGTGAGTGGCGGCGGGAGGGCGAGGGGAGACGGGAGGACGGGTGGTGGGGGTCGTGGCGGGCGCTTCACGCTCTTAGCTCGGCCCGGTGTGCCTCGCAGGGTGAGCCGGACGGAGCGGAGCGGCCGCTACGGCTCCATCGTGGAGAGGGAGGACCGCGACGAGCGGGAGTCCCGCAGCCGGCGGAGGGATGACTACAAGAGGTCCAGCGAGGAGCGCCGCGGTGACCGCTATGATGACTATCGCGACTACGATAGCAGAGACTACGACAGCCGAGACTACGACAGCCGCGATAGCCGAGACTGCCGCGACTACGACAGTCGGGACTACGACAGCCGAGACAGCCGGGTCTGCCGAGACTACGACAGTCGCGACAGCCGCGATTGCCGAGACTACGATAGCCGAGATTGCCGCGACTACGACAGCCGGGACAGCCGAGACTACGATTGCCGGGACTACGATAGCCGGGATTGCCGAGACTACGACAGTCGCGATAGCCGAGACTATGATAGAGACTACGACAGCCGCGATTACGATAGCCCCGAGGTGAGCGGGGCCGGGGGCCGGTACTGCGGGGCGGAGGGCGCCGGGAGCGGGTTGGAGCCCGGAGCGCTGCCCGGGGCCGTGCGGAGCAGCCCCGGGCCGGCGGGCGGTGTCGGTGTCGCCGTCCGTTCGTGTGGCACTGTGGGGACGCCGCGGGGAATCGCGGTGCCTAACCCTGGCCGCTGGCTTCCAGAGGGAGCGGGAGCGCAGGAACAGCGACAAGTCGGAGGACGGGTACCATTCCGATGGCGACTACGGCGAGCACGACTACAGGAACGATATTAACGATGAGAAAGAAAGCAAGACCATCATGTTGCGTGGGCTCCCCATCACGGTCACGGAGAACGATGTGAGTAGCCGGGCGGGGCCGTGCCTGCCTTGCCCCCGGGCAGGGCCGTGCCGGAGCGGCTGCTGCCATTTTGTTGAGCGCTGCATCATGGTGGCCGCTCTCCAGCGCTGTGGCGCTGCCATTTTGAGTTCTGAAAGCATTTAAACTCCCAGTGTTAAGTAATAGAGGTCAGTTCAATGTTAAACAGTCCCTTTCAGACGGAACGAGCTGTGAATATTCGTTTTTTCACGGATGTTTTTCTAAGAGTGGATTTGAAACGATCTGCTCCTTGCCGCTTTTCTGTATGGGAGGGAAGAGGCAGATTTTTTCTGCTGCTTCGCTCCACTGCAGGGAGGGGGGAGGGGGACAGAGACAAAGAGGTGGCAATCGCCAGTTTTTCTGCTCTTTATCGAGGCCAGAACTTGTGACCGATGGGGTCACACACAGTCACCGAGCTCCTTAGCCGAGCACAGCCCCGCACAAAGCTGCTTTGTGTGGGCGCAGCTGTGGGAGTCAAAATGGCTGCTCCTGAGCTGAGGGAGCAAGTACTAACGAGCTTGGTGCTTGCTTGTCTGACGTATTTATTTGAAAGATGTTAAAGCTTTAAGGTTTCTTATCTATGGTAACTTTTTAGGGTTTCTCTTCTTACTGGGTTATTTTGGTTACCAAGATATAAGCGCGATTTGAGGGGTAAAAGCTGAGCCCAGTTTGTTTCCAGTCAAGACTCCGCCTCTGCCTTTGATGTGTATGTGCCTTAATTGCTAACACAGAGAATACATTTGCACCATTTTTACAATGCAGATTTTTTTTTCCTTTGCTTTTTCGTTGATTACTTGTTACCCCCCTGGTATTGAGGGTTCCTGATCACCATATACTGCTCTGACATTTTCGTGAGTGTTTGAAATCAAGTGTAGGTTCCTGCATACAAATGAGACAGCCTAGTCAGACATTACACAGAACATTTTGGAACAGTTCTTGTTTCTGAGATAATGGTGTAGCTTTACAGTTGTGCAATAACTGTAGCATAATTTATATGAATATTTAATTCTGAACTCAGAGTGTAGACAATGCATCTTGCAACGTGGAATTGAATTCTTACATTAACACTACTTCTGGCTGTGTACACAATTCTCTTTTTTTTCTACATTTTTCATAAGAAAAATTCACTTGCATACCTGGTATTATTTCCAGTCAGCATATAAAAGGGCAGCTTTAGATAAGTTTTTGTTTTGATGTTGCTTGTAATGTACTTTGAATTCTGTGAAAGCTGCTGAAAAAACCTTGTGTCTCCTACTCTAAAACATTTGTTAGTTTTTGTTTTTCCTCCATGCCTCTGCAGAGTGGCAGAGGCTGCCTGTGCCACAGCAGGTTTGTTACACCAGAAGAACTGACATTTCTTCAGGTTTTTCTGGGTTGACATGTTCTTCACAAATCTGCTTTATCCTGAAAAACTGATGGAAGTCAGCTAGAGGATGAGGTCTTTAGCATGAGGCTTAAGAATATATTGATCATGGAGCCTTGCAGTGCAGGCTTCTTGTTTTTCATTGCTAGGAGCAAAGGGATACCAGCAGTGTTCTTTGCAGAATCTTGGGATCATGCACTGGCTTTGCCATATATATGTATGGCAAAGATACATGACCAAATACTGAGAACACACAATTGTAGGGATTCAGGCTCTGGATGATTCAATGTCCTGAGTGAGGGTTACAGTTATGGACTTGGATGCTCATCAGTCCAGTGATGGGTTCTCAGTAAATGTCTTCTTTGTCTTTGAGACAGTGTTAAAAACGTTGTTTTGTGTATCTCTTTCATGGTACTGCAAGGTAGGTGGTTTCTGTGACTTCTTTCTGCCAAGCTATGAAAGTTTTAACTGTTGGATCAAAATCTCCTGCAGATTCGTGAGCTTATTGAGTCCTTTGAAGGTCCTCAGCCTGCAGACGTGAGGCTGATGAAGAGAAAGACAGGTGAGAGCTCTTAATCCAGTTTTTGACATCATCTTCCTCTTCCCCAGCCCAAAAGAGTATCCAGAATTGTCCCCAAACTGCAAGCACATGCAATTAAAAAAAAAAAAAGGTTTGCCATGGCTAAGGAATGTGGCTTTTTGGAAGACTTAGATAGCTGGTCAACATGTTAAAAGAAGTCTGTCTACAGGGGGTTTTGTTAACAGGTATTGGTAAGTAATAATAGTGTAAACCCATTTAATAGTATGTAGTGTGTTGCATGGTTACCCTTAAAGATGGATTCAGATGGAGTGAAATGTAGCCAGTTAAGGCAGCTTGGTTCCTTGCCATGGCAAAATAACGAGCAGATCCCAGCAGTTGACTGACGTCGCATTTGTAAAGCTGCTTTGTCATGAAGTAATGAAGCAGTTGGAGAGAGATTCACCTGTTTTAAAGGAACTGACTAACACAAGTATCCCGTCTATATCTGAATGCTGTCTCTAGGTGTAAGCCGTGGTTTCGCCTTCGTGGAGTTTTATCACTTTCAAGATGCTACCAGCTGGATGGAAGCC